GTCTTGACTTCCAAAAAGACAAAAGCCTCCATTTCATCATTTTAGTCTATCTCTTCAAAAAATATACTAGAAGAATGAAAAAGTTTGATAAAGCAGAGGTGTTTAGGCCCTTCTTTTTCTTATCAGTATAAATATATAAATGATATGTCAATGATCTTTGCAAAATCAAACAGGAGTGATACCAAGGACAAGATGAGAGGCTATATCATTTCATTTGAATAAGAGAACTAAGATAACCAGGCCGGGCGCGGTGGCTCAAGCCTGTAATCCCAGCACTTTGGGAGGCCGAGACGGGCGGATCACGAGGTCAGGAGATCGAGACCATCCTGGCGAACACGGTGAAACCCCGTCTCTACTAAAAAAATACAAAAAACTAGCCGGGCGAGGTGGCGGGCGCCTGTAGTCCCAGCTACACAGGAGGCTGAGGCAGGAGAATGGCGTAAACCCGGGAGGCGGAGCTTGCAGTGAGCTGAGATCCGGCCACTGCGCTCCAGCCCCGGCGACAGATAACCAAACTTCTTTTTTCTTTTTCTTTTCTCTTTTCTTTTTTTGAGGCAGGGTCTCACTCTGTCACCCGAGCTGGAGCGCAGTGGCACAATCACAGTTCACTGTAGCCTTGATCTCCTGGGCTCAAACGATTCTCCCACTTCAACCTCCTGAGTAGCTGGGACAACAGGCATGCACCACCACACCCAGCTATTTTTATTATTATTATTTTTCTGTAGAGATGGAGTTTCGCCATGGGGTTTCACCATGTTTTCCGGGATGTTCTTGAACTCCTGCCCTCAAGTGATCCTCCCACCTTGGCCTCCCAAAGTGCAAGGATTATAGGCATGACCACAACGTCAAGTCTTGACAACCAAATTTCTAACAAATTTTTTTGAAAAATATGTAAAAGGATTATACAAAGTGATTCTACATATACTTTATTTAGTTTATGTTATACATTTATTTATTCATTCTTTCTTTTAACAAATAATTAGTGAATATCTACCCTGTCCCAGACCCTGACATATTTTTTTTTACTTTTTCTGAAAACGATCCTCCTGTAAATTCCATGCATTTTCAACTACACTCCCTCTTAATGTCCTTCACTAGACATGTGAATTTGTAGAATTATTCTTCCATTGGGACAGATAGGTGCACACTTCTCACTGCATTAAGTTTTGAATGGAAGAGGAAAACCAGCACAATATAGCATAATAGTTTTAGGAGAGTACTGACCAAGCCTCAAAAATAGAGACACGTTTCAGCCAATGCCGTGTTACTGCATTTTATATTTTCTGAGTTGTTGGTTGAACTTGATGTTAAGAAGAGGCCCCTCCTCATGAGGTCAGAGTTGCCAAGGCCTGCTGGGAGTTACCTAGCCTTGCAGAGCCAAAGCCTTATCTCAAAGGATAAGGTGGAGTTTGCTCTTTTCCCCTATTGCAAAATATGAGACTATTAAGTAATCTGTTTATATCATACAGATCCAAAATCCTGGCTGGCTTTTTTAAGAATAAAATATCCATAGGATTTTCTTCTGCTTGGAAAAAGCTACCTGGGACTGACTCTTCCTATCTCAACCCTCATTCACCCTATGTAATTAGCAATTTCCCCCATCTGTGTTTGAAACGAAAAGCGAGTGGTTGCTCCTCGTGGTCAGCACTTCTGGATCATTCTGGTAACATTAATTTGTCATCCACAGACCAATTCTGTGAAAGCGCGGAAGGGCCTGGGTGGGAGCTGGGGCATGGTGATAAATAAATAAATATGAATATCTGAAATACTGACATTTTAAAATAAGTTTATCCACAGTAACCACTCTCCTCCAAAAAATGTTAACTTTACAAAACCATGCATAGTACAAGGTAACAAGTGGAAGAGCAGATTTAAAGGCTTCTATTTCTTTTAAAGATTAAAATTGGCACTTGGTTTCATTTTGAAAGAGTATCTCTTTAAGCCATTAACACATGAAGAAAATTATGTGACAATGAGGTTTAGGTCTTTAAATATAAGCCACATAGATAAATTCATTATTTAAATAGATGACTCCTCTTCTGACTCACTCCATGCTTAGTGAGTTTTGCAGTTGATGGTTTTCTATTAAGTTTTTAGAATGTGGATTAAGTGTCATGCCACCCACTGAGAGTAAAGTTGAACAAGGTGAACTGAGGGTGTGGTTTGAAGTCTCTCTCCTCAGAACCACAGCATTCAAAGGAACTAAGAGAGAGTATCTGGCTCTTCTTGCCTTCAGGCTGAGCTGAATCCAATCACCCCAAATTAGGGGACCCTAAGCATTTTTAAAGCATGAATATTTTAAAGTAACAAGAACCATCAGACCTTAGTTACTTTAATAATCACTTATTGGGAATACATCTTATTTATGCAGATAACTGTAAAAAACAAAGTTTTATTTTAAGTTGACTTTGCCAAGAATGTCTACAAACATTGTAAACTTCTATGTTTATCCTAGAAGCAAGAGAAATAACTACTTGCATAAAAGGAAATGTAAATAATAATATAAAGGTAAAGTGTCCCAGCTCCTTGTCTTTTGAATTCTGACCCTTAAAACTGGGGCATTCACCTCTGCCATAAATGTGCCAGGAAGCTACTTTAGAATAGAGATATCAGTTTGCTTTTCTTCAAATACTCTCTTCTCTATGCAATTAAAAATATGAGATGGACTAATATTCTTGGGGAAAAAAAAATTTCCCTCAAAACATGAATACTTCTTAGAGGTTTTGACATAGGCCATCTGTTTCTTCATTCTCAACCACTGGAAGCATGGATGTGCCATAAAACCCCTGTCCCTTTCAACTATTTTATACTATCACCTAGAGCTACTATAAAATCTAAGACCTCCCACTCCCACCAATAAAGCAAGGTGAAAAAGAGGGAAGGTCAATTGGGAGAACAACAAATTAAAAATGAACAATTTTGTTCATTTCTAATGAACAGTTACAATAATTTCAAGGCTAGTATTGTAAGACAGTAAGCACTGTAGAAAGTTACCCACAAAATAATCCACAAGCAATCTTCCTACGGGGCTCAGGACTCCACAACAGGCAACAGTTTCTGAGCATGTCTTGAAAGAAATGTAGTCAGCTCAGGTGTCAATCAACGTGAAAGACAGTCACTAAAATAGAGGTCTTATAAGAACAGGAAAATACATAAATCCATTCGGGAGGTTTAATCATCACAAAACCAACACATTTCTTGAATTTTACAGATGTGTTTCTACCATCTTCGGTTGTCTTTGTTTCTTCTTAAAGAAACCTGGCTACAGATTTGTGTGCTACTCATTTATGTTGTTGTCTTAACTTTGTGTTTGAAAATCAAGGGAAATACTTCAGGAAATGCACTTCTTAGTCAAAACCTTAAGAAACAGTATACAATATCCTATTGCAGTAGAGTACTGTCAATCCTACAGACCTTACAAACTCAAGAAGTGATTTACATCTCTTGTGAACCTAGCGAGAACATTATTCTCAAAGGAAAACACACGCACACAGTATATGTCACTCCCAAGCTTTTTCTACTTCAATTGTCTTAAAACTACAGGCTATTTGCTCAGGGCTACATTATTTCTTATATCCATATGCTAAAACTTTAATACTTATATCCCCTCTTTGACACTGGGACAGTGACAGAGTCACTAAAATGATGATTTAACATCATGGGTTCCAAGAATCTTAAGACAAAAGTTTTACTATTTTGCTTTCACCAGCTTGACATTTTCCCACAGCATGTTGTAAAAATGCAAGGAACCCATAAAACAATATGAAAGAAAATACTGTAGTTTCCGTTTTCCTAAGAAACTTAGGCATCAAATTCGTATTAGTCAGTCTCAAGAGCATAAATGCGGGAAGTTGAGGTGGGGGTGGAGGCGCCAATCCTCTAACACCACATGGGCAGAAGAAACTTACTAAAGAAACTTGAGAAACAACATAATAGCCACACTATTCAAACTGTTCCAAGTGGCACAGGAGAATCACTTGCCCCGTACCTGGTGTTCAGTCTGCTTGAAGAATCACTCCAGAACATACAATACTGACTCTCTTTTTCCCAAGCCCACCACACTCTAGTTCAAGTTTGGGGCTGGCACTAAATGCTTACCACATGGCACCGGTCAGGCCAGAATCTCCAAAACACAGATGAATTGTCTCTCAGGTGACTTTAAAGGGTGGGATTGATCACATGATTCACCTGCAAGTTTCATTTAACTTTGAGTACTGCCTAGAACCCTGATTTTTAAAAAATCTCATTATAAGTATTAATAATAACATATATCTGTGATGCCTTCATATAATTATTTTAATAAATATTAATTCAGCTTTGCCTTCCATCAAATAAATAGCATTATTCCCACTTACTGATAAGTCAGGAGACAGGAAATGCCTGCTGAAAGTATTATAGCACCAGATAAAACATAACTCTTCTTTAGTTTTTAACAGGCACTAGGAAATATCAACAAAAGAGATCCTTGAAGTTTTTTTAAGTAAAAAATGCTTGTCCATCTTTTCCTAACTGAAACTCATCCATGATTACCACTCTTAACATCTTCAGCTTAAACCCATTTTTCCTGCAACAATGGTATCATTATCCTTCTGTAATATCTATATCTTTACACTACAAGGTACAAGAAAGAATATTAAAGATGCTGCTGAATAGATTTATATAAATCTAGCAGCTTTCTTGAATTAGTCATTGGAAGGTGGTTAGTATTATATGGTAAAATGTTTATTTTTGATAAAGAGGCACAGCTAACATAGGCACTTACTTTAAAATAAGACTTTTTTAAAACCAGGCAAGACCCATATTCAATCAGATTCTGATGGTCCAATGAAGTTCTTAAAATTACTTTCTGTGTTGCAGCAAAATGTAGAGATTGATGAAACTCTATAGAAAAGGTTTGGTGTTTCATTTTAAAAATGTAAGATCTATGAAATTCATGAATGTTATCATCTATAGAGACATATGTATGTCAACAGACACTTTCCCAGACCCGTAAAGCTCACCTTCTACTTCTTCTTCATCACACACGTGCTTGAGGAAGGAAGCCCCTCTGTCCAGGACAGCTTCATCCTCCATCCTATAGTAATAAAAAAGAAAAAAAGAATGCTCAGACTTCTCCTGGAGCGAGCCACTTGGAGCAGCCCAGCTTCTGGGCAGGTTAACCTGCAAGCTGTTGTTCATGTTAGCAGGGCAGAGTCACTCTTCTTCTGGTGTCTGCTACTGCTTCACGCAGCTCCTCTCATCTGGTGCTCGAGAATATGCCGGTCCCACATAGCTTCAGTTCTAACCTTGAGAGGGCACCCACATAGACAGGTAAGAGAAAATAATCCCAATCCTGTAGGCAGGATGTTGGGGGCTCTCTCCTTGAGGGTTTTAAATTTTTTTAAAAAAAGGATGAAAGCAAAAAAAAAAATACCAAGAGAGGAAGTTTGGTGTGTCTGGAGTGCTCGTGATGATCGTTTGTGGAAATCCAGCTTCAGTGCTTAGCTCTTTAAACACCCACTGCATAAAATGTATACCCTCACACACACACACATGCACACCCACCCACACGCAGAGAGCGACAGGGAGTTAGGCTAGTGCACAGTGGGAGCCTAGCTTCCAGCCAGCCTCTTAATACCAGCACAGCCCAGTATTCTCTGTTGAGTGGCAAGCTTTGAGTCACATGTTGGCCTTACGGAAATCTGACATCTGAGGATTATCCAGCAACCCGGCTTCGGCAATACACACAGATACATGCCACCCATTCATTCATTTACCACATTCTTATCACACATCTTTCTCTATGTATATCTGCCCTGTTAACTCTTCCCTGAAGGGCACAAAGTTCTTCATTTTGTAACCACATTATGCTGTCCTCCTGTCTCCTTACATAATAGGATCTACTCTGCAATTTCATATGCTAAATAAGACCTCAGAATCCATCCAAGGAATGACAGCGTTTTTAGGGCCTCCCGATGCCAAACATGCTTCTAGTTTATAGAATGAGTTAAGGTTTATTTCTATACTCTGCAGCTCCTTTTCATTGCATTAACTTTGATATACAGAATTCCATGAGCTCTATTTATAGTGAAAGCAGAAAGAAATCCTGAATTGCTCAAATGCTGCTTGTGTAGTACCAGTCTAGAAACAAAGAACTTTCTCTGGGGACAGCTGCTCTATGTCATACCGTACATGAGCCCTGCCAGAGAACCAAATGTTCATTCTGTATTCTATTCGTCCAATTACATGCTCAGGCATTGAATATTGTAGGTCTGTTTTCCATATTGTCTGTATAACTTATTCTTGTGCTTCAGATATTTGTTATAATCTACGCGGATGTGCATTGAATTCATATTTTTGTCCTTACTATTTTAGAAGCATATCCATCTCACGAAGCAACCATCATAACATAAAGAGTCAGGAATTTGGTATCAGGTAGTCCCCGGTTTAAGAAATCTAGCTCATCACTTAATAGGTGTGCTACCTGGAGCAAAGTTTTTAGCTTTTTTGAGCCTCAGTTTCTCCATCTATAAAACTGGGGTAATAATATAAACCTTGCATTGATTCAACACAATAATATCAACCTTGCATTGAAGGCTTTGAGAGTCGAATTAGGTAACACACGTAAAAGCACACAATGCAGAACTTAGCACATACTACATGTTTAAATACTGTAAGTTTCCTTCTTTCTGTTTCCTTCCTTTTCACCCTGGCAATCTGCACATCATTTTCCTTCTCTATACTCAAACTAAAAATAATAATCTGAATGCAAGCAGGATATGGGTTGGCCATCAAGATTTTAGTGGAAAAGAAAATTCCTTGAAGATTTGAGGCCGGGCATGATCATGGCTCACACCTGTAATCCCGGCACCTGTAATCCCTTGGGAGGCCAAGGGAGGCAGATCACTTGAGGTCAGTAGTTAGAGACCAACCTGGCTAACATGGTGAAACCCCATCCCCACTAAAAATACAAAAATTAGCCGGGCACAGTGGCACACGCCTGTAATCCCAGCTACTCGGGAGACTGAGGCAGGAGAATAACTTGAACCCAGGAAGCAGAGGTTGCAGTGAGCCGAGATCGCACTACTGCACTCCAGCCTGGGCAAAAGAGTGAGACTCCATCTCAAAAAAAAAAAAAAAAAAAGACTTAAGAAGTCAAGTCATTTACCAACTTCTCTAAGCCTCTGGTTCCCATGAAAATTAAATGATATAGTATATTCACTGATTCAGCAAATATTTATTTAGTGACTGCTATGTTCCTCATACTCTTCAGAGAGAGGGAAACATATCTGTGAATCAGAGAGACAAAGTTCTCAAGCAATTAATAGTGAACAGATGAACAAAGTAATCTCAGATAGCATTAAGTACTTTGTGGAAAATAAAATGAGGCAGGGACTGCTTGGCATAGGGTGGTTCACATGAGGCTTCTGGATGACAACTGAGCAGAGACAAAAATGACAGGAAGGAATCAGTACTGTGAATATTTGCAGGTGATCTGTTCCAAGCAAAGGGAACAGCAAGTGCAAATGCTCTAAGGTGAAGACAAGTTTAGGATGTTCCAGGAACAGAAACAAAGTTAGTACAGCTGGACAGGGCCTGAAGGTCAACTTTAGGAGATGATACTGATTGGGGCCACAAAACCAGGGTAAGGAGTCAGAATTTTAGGTGTTGTGGGAGCCACTGAAGAGTTTTAAAATGGAGAGTGACTTGACTGTTTTTCATTTTTAAAAGATCACCCTGAAGATGGACAGTAAGGGGACAAGAGAAATTAAGAAATCATCGCAGGAGCCAGGGGAAGGCTATGGGAAAAACAAGTTATTGGGGAACAAATCAAGAGTTCTATTTAGCCACTTTAAGAATAAGATGCTTATTACACATGAAAAAGGAGCCATCGGGCATACAAGTAGATGTCTGAGTCTGGAGCTCAGAGGCTCAGGATTAGAGATAAAAATTAGGAAATCAATGAATAAAGCTGGTACCTGAAGCTATTACTAGATGAGATCATCCAGGAAGAAAATGTAAAAATCAAGGAGTGGACCCAAGACCAAGTGCTGAGGCATGCCAACATTTACCAGCAGAGCAGAGGAACAAAAACAGTCAATGAGGTAAGAGGAAATCCAGGCAAGAGTGATGTCAAGGAAGTGACCAAAGGAGGAGAGCACTGCTACCGAGGGGCTGAGAAAGATGGAAAGAGAGGTGTAAAAAGCACTTTAGTCATGATCACCAGTATCTTCTGATTGCCAAATACAATTTTTACATACCACACACAGTAGCAGACACAGAGGAGGCATTCAATAGTTCTCTTTTCTCTTTCCTGCATTCATTCATTCAGTCAATATTTACTGGATACTACTACTATGCTCCCGGCACAAGCCAAGGCACTAGAGTTACAGTGAGCAAGACAAACAAGGTGCCTAATGCAATCACATCCACCTTCTCAAAGATTACCCTTAGCAATCCAGGCAAATAAGTTCAAAAGGCAAGAACCCATCCATTATACCTTTGTAGACACAGATAAGGATGACAGTTTAATGAGGAAATTTTCTTAAAAGACCTCAGAAGCACAACAAAATCCTGAAGCCCTGTGCTACTGCACGTACATTAATAGTGCCAGCTCCCCTTTAGAAAACAGAGTGGTTTAGCTCACATTAACCCTTTCCAGTCCTATCAGAACTAACCCTTTCCAGCCTATAGAGTCCAACACAATCTCATGTGGAACATCATTTCTGCACCTCACTATAAATCAAACTGATCCTAAAGTCTTTTGTTGTCTTTTTTCAAATTTCTTAACTAAAATGTTTAGCCTTTGTGCCTAAGCCATTCCCAGAATTGCATGCAACAACCAAAGAAGTAAAAGAAGAAAAGCTGACACAGTTGCTCAGCCTGCTTTGAGTGGGAGGACTGCTTGAGGCCAGGAGTTCCAGACCAGTCTGGGCAACATAGCAAGACCCATCTCTGAAATTTTTTTTTCAAATTAGCTAGGTGCAGTGTTGTGCACCTGTAGTCCCAGCTACTTGGGAGACTGAGGTGGGAGGACTGCTTGAGCCCAGAAGTTCAAGGCTTCAGTGAGCTATGAGTAGGGCACTGCATTCCATCCTGGGTAACACAGTGAATTCCCATCTCTAAAAGAAAAAAGAGAAACAGAAAGAAAGAAAATGAAAAGCAGCAACAACTGGAGGGGATAATAGAACAGTTCAGAAAAACCCTCTTCCTAGGCTAAGAAAACCATCCAGCCTAACTGAGGCACTGTCACTATGTTCCATCTGAGTTAGAGAGTGAGAATAATGATTGGTGCATTCCTTGGCTCTTTGATGCATATTTCACATTCCCTCCAAGACTATACATAGCAAGTAATTAGAAACTTCGTTCTTTCTGACAGACAATGCAGAGCATCTCAAAGCAGCCTCTTCCCTGCAGGAAGAAAAAAGGCATGAGTGAAGCAAACGGAAAATATAAAACCTGCACACCCACAGTGGCCTTTCCCCACAGCCGCCCTCAGTCCTCCTTAGAAGTAAGTCCAGCCTGGTGCACCTAGGCTTCTGCACAAAATACAGGAATTCAGCACATTTTCTTCATCTTTACACTACAAATGTCAATTATTTGGGCTTGTGTCCCTCCTCACCGCAAATCCTCTCAGCAGTTGCTTGCTATTATTAGTAAGACAGAGATACCTTTTAAAATAACCATCTGACCCAACTAGTTCCTCCTTCTATCAATAGGAAGAAATTAACTTATCCAGTCCTTAATCAGGCCCTCAAACCCATTCTTAAAAGTTCCTTTCACACACCCTGCATTCGCTGAAAACAAAGAAGGGAAGAGCATGCTTCTAAAAAGCTCCCGGGTTGCTCACATCACCAGCATGAGGCAAAGTTCAGAATAGATTTGGAAGCTTCTCACCAGCATCACGGGGATAAGGGTCACACCAGTCAGTATAAAATCCACTCAGGGCCAATAATGCCTTCCCTCAGCCAGGCCTCTGACTGTACAAGTTATACCCTTTCTACGGAAGTCCACACCCAAAGCAAGGTTTTTCTTATTCTCCGTTATTCTGGGACACCAAAATGATTTAACTGTAACACATGTCAAATCTACTGCCAAATGGACCGGCTTTCACCAGCCGGTCCTAATCACTGAGCAGGCTCGTAAGGGTGACTTAAGCCCAGCATGAGAAACATTTGTGCAAAACTGTCAGCCATTGGGTCTTGAGCACCCATCTACATTCCACCCCTCTAAGTTCCCACCCCCAGAGCCCATGCCAACTGCCAACGTGCTCACCAGCTAGTCCACACAGCGCAAGCAGCTGCCACTCAGCCAGTCAGCACGTGGCAGACCGCCAGCACACAAGTTTCAGAATGCAAGCCTGCCCCGTCACAGTGCTGCTAAAGGTTGAAGGTCTTCGAGTGTGCTAGCCTTTAGATTCGCCTCACTTGCCCTCCCACCTCCCTTCTCCCATCCCTCCTCTGTTACGCCTCCCGCTGTAGCATTTTACTTGTCTCTATAGTAACAGCATCTGGTTTCAGGGTTAAAACTTTATACAGCACATTTCTCCTCCTAGCCTAAGCTTTTGCCAAAGGATGCAGCAGCAAAAAGCCTGCTGCTTTACCGTGGAGCCACCTGTTTCCCTGCCACCCCAGGATTGCAGCTACTTTGTAAACTGTAGGATGAAAGCGACTGCAGTACTGAGCCCAGGGAAGGCGAAACAGAGCCTCCAACCTTGGCACACTAGCTGGTGTGTAGAGGATCCACTCCGGGGCTTGTATACCCAATCCCAGAGCTAGCCCGCTCTCTTCCACAGCCCGCTCTGCACTTAACGATGCTGCACATGGATCAAGTTCATAGCAGGGCTTTTTGATTGCATCCCAAAAAGCACCGGGGTTGGCACCCTAGAGAGCAGCAGGGCACCAGTGTTTAACATGCCCATACCAGAGTTTCATATCACTGTCTCTCTCCATGCATACAGCATAAAGTTTATTAGCTAATCTTGTATTTCAACTCATCCCACTTTATCCTCACCAGCTTGGTCTGTTTACAACATCCGGTGAACCCCATAATCTCTCACTTCACACAGCTTTCCCATGCATAGCCAATGTTTAAACAGTTCTTTACACACATGCCCACACACACCCCAAAGTGACGCACACAGGGGAGGGACAAACGCTAGCAAGTGAAGAGTTTTATTATTAGCCATTTTTGCCATGAAAACTAAGTGTATACAAAGGCCTTTACTTGAGGACTGCAGTCTCAGAGTTCAAAAGCAGGCTGTCCCTGTTACTTGGCTAATCTTGGATCAGAAGAAAGATAAAAACCAGCATTTCACAGGTCTTTTTCAGGAGCTATACAGATTTTATAACAATCAGTACCGACATCTACAATTATACACTCATACACGCATTTCTGAGTTCTATTCCCTATTCAAATCATGTTTAAGAAGTGGGGGACTATTTCCATTATAAACCATTTGCAAACGTGATTTTTTTTGTCATGATTCTAAACTTCACAGCATTTTATTGGTGCTTTTGTTGCTTTGTAAAATCTGCCATGCACATTTTCAACATACACATGATGAACAAGACACAATTCTCTAAGCCACAGGCGACAGAGAAGAGTAATCTCAGTGGCTGCAAAGTGCACTGCCATCTTTTGGCAACATGTGTTCACTACAGGGAACCAAAGGGCAAGAAAAAGCTGCAACCATTCCCTTTAAAACTTCACAGGGGCTCTAAGAAGGGCTTTCATTCCCACAGGAAGTAAGACAGAACACAGTTGCTGACTTAACTGTGCAGACAGCTGGAGCTCTGGACATCCACACTGGGGGAAAGCGACATCGGTGCAGCAAAACTCACAAGCATGACTGATGGCAGTGATGACTCCCAGAGATCAGCCGGCAACAAAGCGAAGTAAATCTCCTTCCCAGAGCTCAGGAACACCCTAATCAGCCTGGAAATTTACACGGGCCCAGGGCCAGAGGGAAATAGGTGAGAGCCCCACACAAAATCAGACTGAGAACTGGATAAAAGGTGAAAATGCAATCCAGAGCAGGATCATGCCAAATCCAATTCTGGATTTATGAACTGTATTAAAAGTTCATTTGTACTCCTGGGCACTTATCCTAGAGAAATAAAAACTTACGTTCGCCCA